TCAACAGAAATAAAACGATGCTCAAAAACCACGTCCCGCGTATAACGTTCCGCCGCGCGGTACTCTGAATCTTTTAAGACGTAATCTATAGAAGTGAATCCTTTATTTGTTCTCTGTATTTTGTTTTTACTCCCACTGCAATGATGGAGATGTGAATGATTGATGAGACTCCCTTTTCTGCTTTTGCTAAATCAATTAAGTTCAATTGAAAACGACATGTAAATTGGGTTTGGACGCAGACATTTCACAACAGCTGAAAGAACTTTCGCATCTCGCAGAAATTTCGTTTCATTTTCAGCTGGAACGTGCCAAAACGAAAACCAACTTTAATTGTATCATTTACATTACAAATTTAGACCATAATCGTGTTTCATCAACAATACTTCATTTCGAGTTAGACACTCCATCAGCGTTTCGTTAATTAAGGTAATCGGAGAAACCCAGCATTTTATCGCTATCCCAAAATACACAGCTTTAATTGATATCCCAGTAGCAAATAACGGGAAACTAGACACGAGCAATCGATGATGATTTAATTTAGTTGATCATAGAAAAAACTCCAATTAACAACGTTGTAAAAATACTACCTATCTAATATATTTATCTAAGTAGTTAAGAAATAGGCATAAAGTTAATAGAATAAAAAAATAATACAAACATTTGCAGTGTTTGTACTTACATAAGCTGTGGTTAGATTAGTTTTATAGTCTAAATATAGATATTAAATGATTATGTCAAATGTTAATTTAAGCATACTTAAACTCATTTCGATTCAAGAACCAAATGTTACAGCACTGCAATTACCAATTCATTGTACCCATTTATAAAATATGGTTTTCATGACTTAACAAAATTAATTAATTCACTTCAAATTAAAAACAAACATGTTCTTATTTTACTTTTTTTTTTTTAGCTTTTATTGTTCATTCACAACCTGCCAACATCTCGGGCTATAAGTTGAATGCTTTATTTTACTAAAACACAAAAAGTGCAAAATGTACGATAATGAAATAATAAAGATTAATTGAAAATAATTTGCAGGTTGATATCTTAAAATTGCAATTTCTAAAAGGAAATAAATTAAGAATTTTCTCATAGAAAGTTTGTTATTTACTAATTAAGTAAACAGCTTTCTTATTTACAGTACGAAAACACTTATAAGACTGAATAAACAATAAATATATATATTTTACCTTCTGGAAAAACAATCAAGTGACCCAAATGCAATAATTATATATTACAAGAATAATCGACAACAAAAATTCCAATCAGTTTATTATTATTTATGAAACCGGAGAGAATTGATTCTGAGAATTGTGTAAATAGGGGAAGCATCTCTTTAAATAATTTTATTGACTCTATGACTCAACTTAAATTGTTTATACACATTACATGATCCAAGGTTGTGATGTGAACTTAATTGAGACAATGTTATCTGTATTGCAGTCATGGGATGCTACAAATTAAGGTAAACTATAGATCTGAATTGTTTTGTCTTTTGAAGGGGTTGTAGCATCCCCATTGCAATACACTTTATCAATTGGAATTTTGATTTTGCTCACCTGTTTATCCTGTAGTATAGAACCAACTCGATTACTTGCACTTTGAAGGGTGTTTCACAGCATTTCTAAGCCCAGATTGTTTAAAATATTTACAAAAACTGAGAAGCACTACACAACAGCCATATTATTGCAGCTGTCACTGGTTGTCACTGCAATGAGCATTTAGAACTACCACTTTTCAATACATTGACCGTTGCCTACACACCAAACTTATTTGAACTAAGATTCATTTAATGCATAATATATCAATAAAATACTTGTATAACGTAAACTTCTAGTTAAATTTTTAAATATTTAATACTATAACTTCTTATATAAGTTACAAATAAAATGTGAATGTATAGGCAACTAAACTTACATTAAGTTAAGTAAATTAATGAGTAAATCCAATAAGTCTTTACTTCTGCCATACTATGAGTAGTAAACTATGACTTCTTAAAAATTCAGGCAGATAAATCTGATAGTCATAATTATAACGCAGATAACTCAAAAATTAATTAGCAACTAACTGAAGTAGTAACATTATATACGTTAAAGCATTTTTTTCCTTCTTCTTCCGCACTGCGCGCCAACAATCCAGCTCCTGTCTTCGAGAGATACTGCAAAACAAGGATTACGAAAGAAGGAAGTGGATTTATTACAGCGCCAAAATGCCTGAACTACAACCTTTGATATATTGCTAATAGACAGCGCTAGTTACCGCAATAACAGAATATTGATTTTTCGCCTAAAGTACAGGCAACCAAACATACATATGATTTTGCTGAACAAGAACAACAAGTTACAAAATGACCTGTATTTTCGTATACACCAGTTCCCATAAGAATTTTGGATATGGATGTTGATCTTGAATATACAGAGATTAAATGAGCGTAATTATAGGGTTTTAGCTGCAATGGTGTCTTCATAATTAATTAACAAACATTGGTATTTTACAAATAATAATTGGCAAATTAACGTCTTCGAAAATGACCTGTATTTTCGTATACAACAATTCCCAGAAGAATTTTGGATATGGATGTTGATCTTGAATATACAGAGATTAAAATACGCTTAAATATAGTTTGTAGTTGCAATGCTTCTTAGAATTTTGTTAAAAACTTTGATATTTGAGAAATGACAGATGGGAAAGTGCGTCTTTGAAAATGTCCTGTATTTTCGTATATACCAGCTCCTAGAAGAATTTTTGTAATTGATGTTGATCTTGAATATACAGAGACTAAATTGACGTAATTATAAGGTTTTAGCTGCAATAGTGTCTTCATAATTAATTAACAAACATTGGTATTTCACAAATAATAATTGGCAAATTAACGTCTTCGAAAATGACCTGTATTTTCGTATACAACAATTCCCAGAAGAATTTTGAATATGGATGTTGATCTTGAATATACAGAGATTAAAATAAGCTTAAATATAAGTTTGTAGTTGCAATGACTTCATCAGAATTTTGTTAAAAACTTTGATATTTGAAAAATGATATATGGGAAAATGCGTATACGAAAATGTCCTGTATTTTCGTATACACCAACTCTTAGAAGAATTTTTGTAATTGATGTTAATCTTGAATATACAAAGATTGAAATGAGCGTAACTATAGGGTTTTAGCTGCAATGGTGTCTTCATAATTAATTAACAAACATTGGTATTTCACAAATAACAGTTGGCAAGTAACGTCTTCAAAAATGGCTTGTATTTTCGTATACAACAATTCCCAGAAGAATTTTGGATATGGATGTTTATCTTGAATATACAGAGATTAAAATAAGCTTAAATATAGGTTTGTAGTTGCAATGACTTTTTCAGAATTTTGTTAAAAACTTTGATATTTGAGAAATGACAGATGGGAAAATGCGTCTTCGAAAATGTCCTGTATTTTCGTATACACAAGCTGCTAGAAGAATTTTTGTCATTGATGTTGAGCTTGAATATACAGAGATTAAAATGAGCATAATTATAGTGCTTTAGCTGCAATGGTGTCTTCATAATTAATTAACAAACATTGGTATTTCACAAATAACAGTTGGTAAAGTAACGTCTTCGAAAATGGCTTGTATTTTCGTATACATGTGCTCCCAGAAACATTTTGGACATGGATGTTTATCTTGAATATACAGAGATTAAAATAAGCTTAAATATAGGTTTGTAGTTGCAATGACTTTTTCAGAATTTTGTTGATATTTGAGAAATGACAGATGGGAAAATGCGTTTTCGAAAATGTCCTGTATTTTCGTATACACCAGCTTCTAGAAGAATATTGGACATTGATGTTGATCTTGAATATACAGAGATTAAAATAAGTGCAAATACACGTTTGTAGCTACCACAACTTCGTCACATTTATTTATTAAACTTTGGTATTTCACAGATGATAGTTTGGAAAACAACGTCTTCGAAAATGAACTGTATTTTCATAAAAACTCTCTCCCAAAAGAATTTTAAATATGAATATTAATCTAGAATATACATAAATTCAAATGAGCATAAATACTTATTTGTAGCTACTATAGCTTAGTCATACTTAATTATCAAACTTTGGTATTTGTGGAAAACATAATCTTCGAAAATGCCCAGTATTTTCGTAAGCACTTGCTTCTAGAAGATTGCTGAACATGAATGTTGATCTATAATATACAGAGATTAAAATTTAGTGTAAATATAGATTGATAGCTATATAAAAAGGCTACAGTCTCTTTCTGGAGATTTCATGAAAATATACATTTTTTATTTTCACTGATATCAGAAATGTTAACTAGTCTGTAAAGATCATGTAGGAGGCAACAATAGATTAATGTGTGCTGCAGGATCCGTAGTTGTTATCCATCTCCTTATTGAAGAAATATTTTTGGTCACTTTCACCAATTAAGTTTTCTACTATATGCAAATGAAAACTGCTACTGCTAGTAAAGAATGGCTTCCACTTTCTGTGGACCTTAAGGATGTCAACATACATTAGAGGCATCTTGCTATCAGCTCCACCTAAAATAATAACAATTGTACCAATCGATTGTTAACAAGTTGACTATTTACCTTATGACTATAGCAATTACTACAAATTTTTAGATGAAGACACATATTCAGTATGTTATATGTAAAAAGAATTGTCCCTACTAAGCTGCAATGTCTGTTGTATTTTTCCTGAAGACAAAGAACTTTAGTACTTGATGATTGTTTACATGTTGTATTGGTACTCACCCGAAGTGAAATGTGAAGTTCATAGGAAGGTTTTCTATACAAGGAAATAGAAGAAGGTAGCAATGGAGCATGTTGTTCATTAAGTTTGCATTCATAATATTGCAGAATAGAGAGCAAAATGACCTTTGAACTTAACTTCTGACAGTAGCTGTCACTATGACAGCTCGCTTACTCACATACTACAACCAATCAGAATAGACCGTTGTCTGGAGCTCAGATACCTCCTCGCTACTCATAGTCTCCTGGTGTAAATCCCAATTTTATTCAATAATATTCAATATTCAATATATTCAATCCGTCAACGCTTGTTTTAAAGCTTAATAACTTTCTTATTAATTAACCAATATTTTAACTTTTTTAATTGCAAACAAAAGGGAAAGAATCATTCTTTAAAATTATAAATTCATATTATTAAATAAATATTAACATAACTATTTATTTAGTGATTTTGTTTGAAAAAAAGCATTTTAGGGTTTTTCTCGAAAACTATAATAGACTGAATAGATTCAAAAGAAGCTTAAGAAACTTGGATATTTGATCTTTACTAATTTGTTTACAGATATAGTGAAACAAAGTTAGATGAAGGTAGTTAGAAATCTGCTAATGACATAAGTTTTAGTGACGATGAGATTAACATTTAACATCGTTACGAGCTTTGGTTCGTTCTTTAACGCAACAGGTTGTTCAGACGATTGTGGATTGTACTTTGTATTTTGATCATTACAATTTCATATATTAAATTTAATGTAGTTTTATATAACAATCATTAATTTTTATACAATCATACCGTTTATTAATACTAAAATTTTAATTTATTTCTCATATTATTTATTTTCAAAATGTAATATATTTATAAAATGTATACACTTACCTTTGGATTAAATCATTTAGTAATTTGTTCTTGTAAATCAGTGATTCTCAAACTTTTTGGTCTGCAACCCTCTTTTGTACATAACAAGTTTCTGCGATTCCTCGAAGAATGGGTATATGTAGAAAAACAACCAGGATTGATCTCTCATTATTTTTTTGTGACCCTTGGATGATCGCGACTCAAACTTTGAGAATGTAGATTATGAGGAAAATAGTATCCTGTGAGAAGTATTGGTATTAGTTCTTTGTGTGAATAGGGTTGAAATAAAATAAAAAGTAATTTGTAACAATTTTATTTTCCACATTTTCCTGTTTCCTATGCAATTTCAAAGGTGATAATTTAGGTTTAGGTTACATCGATCAAGAATATTATTTTTTTGTGTTCCTTGTTGATACATATATAGTTAGTATTAATATTTGTATATATATATATATATCTTTGTTCATGTTTTTATTTAATCCCGCGGAACATCGAAGGGCGGGCCTACGTTGCTTAAATAGAAAAAATATATAAATTAGAAGTACAAACAGCTAAGTGGGCCGCCCTTCGCGAGCCGCCTCCAGATTGCACAGAACTTGTTAACAGAAATCGATCCTTGCCTTCCGCACTCGTATAAATCATCAATACAATTATATCATTAAGCAAGGGTGTTGGGCGTTAGATGCATAAGCAACTAATGATATACAGGTGATTGGTCTATAAGTAGTATATTTATATTTTATTTGTATATATATTTGTTTATATCATATATTTATCCATCTCTTTTGTATTTTTTTTTGTTTTTTTCTTCTTTTCATCATCATTTTCCCCCTAAATATTTGGCTAATTAGACCAAAACACTTGTAGGTCGTTTTTTTTTTAAATATATATATTTATGTATATATATAACTATCTTTATGTTTAGACTCTCACTAAGTTTATAAAATATTTATACAGTTAACAAACATAAAAGCTACGCATCGTCATGGGGTTTCTTTACAAAAATTCTATCGCTTGTTATACCATGCATCATCTTCCCTCGGTTTAATGTTCCTTTCCACACACTATTTATATATATATATGTATATAAATATTCAGTTTTTCTCATCTTTTTATCTGACTCTTTCAGTTTGTATCCCAAAGTCCGCACTCCATAACTTACAACCACATTTCGTGGTCATTGCAATCTCAACTTTAAATGCAAGTGGTATTTTTCTAACCCCCCAAGAGTTACAGATGTTGTCCGCACTCCAACTGAATTCTTAAAAGGTAACACGAAGTGGGAAACCACTGTTTCCGGTCTCCGATTAATTACTCTTACTTACTTACATACTTAGTCCCGCATCGGATCGGTACGATTGGGTCTGCGCTGCAGCCGGAACCAATTAATCATAGCTTAATGCTTTGTCCATACTTGAATCAATCCGACCAGGATCAAACTACCCATTTCGCAGTCAAAAAACTATGACTAATTTGTCGAAATTACTATACATCGATTTCCAACATTTAAGAAAAGTTTGTTCCATTGAGTAATTTGAGTCAGCGTCGTGATGCAAGGGGGTGCGAAGAGGTGCATCATCAATTGATTCAATTATGTACAAACGATTTCGTTTATTTTAGTTAGTAAAGTGGGAGGGATGAGGGATGCATCTTGTCTTTTAACGTTAGTAGGTTGCTTTTTCAATTATTTTTTTTTTTGGAAAAGATCAAGTTGTTGCGCAAGCACGCATGAACCGGGGATGGGGGACACTTTGAATCTAACATTTTTATACTTCTTCACGTGTATTATCTTTACGTGTGCTCGATGACCAACCCGTTTTTGCTCTTATACCGAAATTTGATTGATTTTATATTACAATACACTACACATCCTATCACTTGCAATTCAAATGAAACTTTTCACAAAGCTTTACCACCAACTTCAGTATTGTCTAACCAATTTTGATATTCATTTACCTTTAGACATATATGGATTCATATAGAGTTGCTTATTTATAAGGTATGAACAAAATAGACGTGTGCATGAAAAAAAATTTAAAAAAAATTGAGCGCGCTGTGAAACATCAACATTGACAGGAAAATAGGTCAGAAATATTACTGAATAAATGCAATCTTGGCCGAGGATCGAAGGGCTTTGGTGTTCTGCCAACAAAGTCTCCACAAAATAACGAAATAATTATGACTGCACACGATCCGACCTCCCTTTGATTTTGCTTCTTCCCTTATTTTTATTTTCTTCTTCGCTTCGTGACACGCGAAAAAGTTACGTGAAACTAATCAAGAAAAAAAAAATTAACAGAAATTAAAACACAATTTCTTCTCTCACTGTTTCGATTTAGAAGTATTGAGCAGAAAGACTTCGAGAACGAAATAATTTTTTGTTTGATGGTGTTTGTTACTTTGCTTTGTGAAATAGCTTATTTAAATGAACCGTATTCTAATTACGTAATGATAATGGGAAGATATAAATAGTGCGTTTTGTTTTGTATGAAGTATTTGTGTGTACTATAAATGTATGTTTTAGTTGAAAAGTTGCGGCGATCGTGACTCGAATTGGATGCTAATAATAAATAAAATCCAGCCAAAGGGAATCCAGCATGTAACGTGTGCGTTTTATCGTATCCTTGTGCATTCACGGGTTGGTCTCGACTGGACGGGCTTATCTACAAGAAGCGATCAGTTTGCTATACCATTCTGCTCAGATGCACGTACAAATGGTATGCATTCGCGCACACCAAGACCGAAATACATACATACATACGTCTCGTATATAAAAAAGCTATATATCAAAATAAGTATCACGATAAAAAAATTGTAAATATGTCCTCTATCAAAATGGGGATGGGGATTGTGTCGCCTGTAACAAGACCAGAGGGGTTCGAACGTGCTTGCACTAGAAAGGAGATGATTTCAATTAACGATTAAATGCTTTAAGTTAAGTTACCATTAGAATGTTGTTTGCAAAATGTTCTTCGATATTAATATAGTCATGTGTGTTTAATTTTCTCTCATTTCTTCTTTTTTTTTCACTTTTTTTTTTCTCAACTTTTTTCGTTTAAATATTGAATAACAAATACTGAGTGTCTCAGAATAACAATACAAGTTTTAAGCGTTAAAATCGTGTATACGTAACAATGTGTTTCATTACTTACAATAATTATTCATTACTCGTCATAGAGATCGTGTCTACGGTGCGCCTCACTCCCATTCCGCTCCTTCCCTTAAAAAATCACCACTAAATTAGTTTACGTTACTTCGCTTCTTCTTTCCCATCCTTTTAAACGTATGTATATATAATTATATAATAATTTGAAAACTTATTATTTCTTCATCCTCATTAATAAAGTTTTAACCTACCCTTAGTCATATGAACGATATGTTTACGTCAGTCAATTTGTTCAAGAAAATTTCATCCTTCATTTCTGGGTGTGTGTGTGTTTTGTTTTTCTTTTTGTGAAATGTGAGTCCTTGTTCATTTATTTCAATTAATTATAATAATTTTTCCTTTAAAAGTAATTAAAATTACAACAGAACTGAATATGTGTGTGTGTGTGTCATATTGATTTATTTTTAAAACGAGAATTAAGTTAATTATAAAGTTTTAAAGCTATCCATGATATGCATTTTATTCGCATGTAAGCCAAAATATTGGAAAGTTTCACACAGCTCAGCAAATTTTGTCCTTCTATTATTAATATTTTCCAAATATAATACTCATTCAATCCATATACTTTACTTTGGTCACCCCTTCACCAAATTCAATTTATCTATGCGCACACGCTGCTCATTATGTTACGTAATTTTTCACTTTCTCTTTGGACGAAACAAATTGTGGCCTGGGATTATATATGTTGAAAAGAAAAAGAAAAATAATAGGAAGAAAAAATGAAGATGTGCACGCGCGTTTCGGCGCCGATAATTATGAAAATTTATTCTTCAGAAACCGCCGGGGGATTACGTAATGCACCGTTCGAAGTGAGGAGACGCGCGTGCGATAAACATGTTGTCTCCCTTCTGGCGAGAGGACGTAACAAAGGGGGACATTGTAGTTGAGATGTCTGGCTTGTACTGCCAAAGAGCTCCTTCTTCTATTTCGCATATACATATACTTTTTATTTATCATTATTATCCTGTATACCTTCTTCAAATCTTTATGTTGTTGTTTAATTTTTGTTTGTAACTCGCATGGGAAGACATTTTCAGATTGTACATGATCTTAAATGATTTATTATACAAAAAAAATGTCTATCGCGAAAGTTCGCTTAAGCATTTCAGAATTACACGCAATTTCTTCTTACAGTTTGTAATTTAGATTATTAAGAAATTGATTATTATAATCTTAAGATTAAAACTATGGAGATTCCACTTAGATGCACATGCAAAGAATACTTGCAGCGCGTATAAACATATCCTAATTTAAAGCCAGATCCCAAAGAGGAGTAAATCTTTACATCCTAAAAACTAGAAAGAAAACAAAACAAATTAGTAACAAAGTGTTACTATTATTATCCTATCTTACATATAATTATTTTAACATTAATTAGAGCAATTGTCTTAAACTAATTTAACTTATAAACGTAATAATAGAATACCATAGAAACTAAAATTAACTGAGTGTATTTTTATTTCTGACCATTGAAAATAGTACAAGTACCGATCGGTTGAAATCAAACTAAGATCATGAAGACAGAAGGTAACTTTATATTACAGACTCGAGTGTTACCAAGAGATCTGAAGAAAGGGTAACAATAAATTATATTTACAGAACTAAAATAACAAATTTAAATTGAATACACGTATCAAACTTGACACAGAATTTCTGAAAATTCTCTCAATCTAAACCAGTGGTTCCCAAACTTAATTGGCCTACCGCCCTTAACAGATATTAATCGTCCCCAACTGCACCTATGGCCATTACCCTGCATCTAAACAATGTCAAAAACTTATCAATTGATTAAAAATTAAACTAGGTTAAAATTAAATTTCATACTTATTAAATAATTTATTATTAATTTGGAGTAATATTAAATAAGTATAATGCATTTAAGTGAGAACAAAAGATCAAAAAGTCCCAAAAAAAGAATTTGATCAAAGTTCGGAGAATTTTGGTGTTGACTAAACGATGATAAATGAAACAAACTAAACTAGGAGCACCCAAAAAATAAAATGGATGCATTCTAATCGTTTGGCTTACAGTTCAAATTCACAGGTTTTCTTTTTAAAGGTATGAAACAATTAATGAAGAATCAAACGGTAAGATTTGACTTTTTTATCCTCACTAATAATAATACATATTGGCATATGGGCAAAGAAAAGTTTGTTTCACCCAGGAACGAAAAGGAAAACCTTAACATTAATCATAAAAAAAATAAGGATATACGAAATTACAATTCTAGTTGATTACACAGTAATTGATTGTCAGTTTCGCACTGAAATTCAAACGATTCCGTGAAATAAATGAAAGTTATATATTATATACTATAATTCAATTATATGATTGAAACTGAAATTCTAGTAACTGAATGCTTTCAAAGTTGTTCTGATTTGTGTTGGGACACTTTTGATTATATAAATTAAACTGATTTAATTTGTTTTTCTTTTTAGTAAAGGAAATAATTTTGAAATTGTATGCTAAATACGCTAATGGAAACTATGGCAGTACTGTTTTTTTTTAAATAATTTACAGTAGATTTTTCTATTATATTTACTACGTTCGTGCAATAATCGATCTCAGCTATCTGAAACGGTCCTAAATTATTGCATTGATAATTGTCACTTGTCACAACTTCAATAATTACGAGCTACGTCTCCTTTCATCAAACATTCTACAAACAAACTGAACGTTAACTTCGATTATTTTTTTTAATACGAAATATTAATTGCTATCACGTCGCAATTATATAACGCGTACGGCATTTGCATTATATGTATACACTATGATTTTATGTCGGTTTGCGGCTTTCGTAATTACACAATGTCGAACAGCTTCGATATTTGTATTTTTATGAACACCACAAAGCAAAATTGTTGCGTTCTCTTTTTTTTGTTTGTTATTATTTTTGTTTTATTTTTGTTTGCAGCGATTCATTAATTCGCTGCTGTGAGCAATTTTCAAATGAAACGATGGATTCGGTTCTCTGCATTGACCACGCAATTAACATTTACGGAATCGCAAAGATGCGGGATAATTAATACGTAATTGAATGAAGCTCGCTTTTAAATAAAGAGGAACGAATAGGGAAGACAGCGTTTGCGTACGCAAACGCTTTGATCATTAAGAAACGTAACTTAGGAGGAAATTATTTAATAAATACGGTTCCGGCATTCGTGAGATGTCGTTACTTCAATGCGGTTATTAGTGAGAAATGGAAGCATCAAAGAGAAATGTTTTGCTCGAAATTAAACAAAAATCATAGTTTAAACATTAAATGCCGATCCAACCCAAACGATTTGGAGATGCCTCATATATCCTATACCAGTGATTCTCAAACTTTTTGTTTCTGCGACCCCCCGAAAAATAGGTATGTGTACCCCCCTGGGGGTCACGACCCACACTTTGAGGATCACTGTCCTATATATTACAACTAACTACGTTTCATTAGGCCTTTCGTCTACAATCCTTACATTTGTCTATAGGATTATTTTCACTGAAATTTGCGGATTATCATTTATTTTTTTTTATCCTGGTAGATAAAGTTTAGTTCATAATGATATTAACTATTTCTGAATTATTAAAGTAACTTCAGTGATTATTTTTTTGATAAAGTTAAATTTGTAAAACGAAAGTTTCATGAAACGTAATAAGATTAAGTTCTTATGAAATCAATCTATTGATCGATTAATAGTGATCTTATAGTGATAAAAAATAAATATGAAATCCTGAAAAGATTTAATTTAGAAAAAAATAAAATTTGAATTACAATTGACGTTGAAGAATTTTGTGAAAGTGTATTGAAATTTTTGATTGAATTGTTCTTCGTAAAGAAAAATGTAAGTCGATGGGCAATGAAGAAACAAGATGTCCTATATTTAGGTCAATTGAATGGTAATACGTCATCGAAACTGCAGCCCCTAAAGACAACGAATATCTTCTTCTTGCTGCAAGTTTTTTGTTTTCTGAAATAGATCGAGATTCTGAAATGCTTAAGCTCGCTTCTGTCTCTGCTCTTTTCATCACCTAAAGTGGCTCGAAAATACTTTTCATCTTTTTTTGTATAATAAAGTTAAATAAAAAAAGAAACGTGTACGTTTTAGTTTAGGAAAATGGAAATGAATATATGTATAAGTCGATGCAAAGATTTGCTCTTTTCTCATGTGTGTATATTAATATATTATATTTTACCACTTTTCTTATTTTCATCAATTTTTATTTTGTAGAAGTCATTAAGCTACGGATCATTTACTCCCTTTTGGACAGATATTAGCTGAGCGCCGGAATAACCGACTTTCCTATTTATTAGGATAATTCAGTTTATGCAACGCGACCTTTTATCGGTGTTACCTGAATACACACACATTTACTAACTAGTTACTACTATCTTATTAACCCTAATGCCAACAGTCAACACTGATATGTATATATACACCAAAACATAAAGACGTTTTCTCTCATATTATTTTTTTTCTCGTTTTCTTTTTGTATATATATATTATTTTTTTTTCATTCTTGGTTGAGAATCGTGGGATTGGGGAATTTCACACTCATTTATATATTTCGTTAGATTACCTGTAGATGCAACTCAGAGTGATTAAGTAATATTTTTTTTGCTGTTTTTGTTTTCTATCTGTATATGTTTATAGTATTGTGCTTGTGGTTCATTTTGTTGTTGCTGCTGTTGTTTGTATGAATTAGGTATAGAATTTGCTTCGAGATATATCTCGTTTACAGCCTTAATTGTCATGAGGAGAGTAAACAGACTATGTGCGCAAGGATCGGGAAGATCACGTAGAGACCGACGTGGCTATGGCTCAGGTTGGAGGCTGAGCTTGCCTCGATCTGCACGATCTCGACCTCTGCCATTTTAAATATGCTCAGCAACAAATGCGACACGAAATCGGGATTGCGACTGTTAATCCTGTCGCTTATGGTTTCCAGCAGCTCGACGCATTCCTCCTGCAACACACCATAGTAACGTAACCGGAATTGGGGAAAAGTAGGACGAAAGGATCTGGGTCGAACCCGACTCGACCCAACTCGACCCGGAAACGTTTTCGCATAATTACTGAACTTAAAATCTAACCTTTTCTTTGGCCAGACTCTCCATCGGTGACAACATCGTATAATCCACCTCGCCGTTCAGTTTCCCAGCTATTATCACGTTCTCCCTCGTCGTGTTAAACAATTCCAAAGAGCACAACGTCTGCAAAAGTAAAACCATTCCTTAATCCCCGTCCCTCCCCTACAAACAATCGATGCTTGAACTACCAGCACATGCAGAACACACACACTAAAAAAAAAGACGTATGGAGAACAGATAAATACGCGTAACTCGACGCAAATCGGACGAATTTTCGATTTCCTCTCACGCTTGAATGTCGAAATAAAACAAAACGAAACACAAAGAGTACACTATGGAAACAGTTTGCATAAATCCAATTCGGTTTTATGAGTTTATTGCTTTGCTATTTTTTCAACTTAAAATATAAATGCCTTTGTCGATTTATATTCCTCCTCCTGTACATGTGCTCTTTCTATACATTTTTTCTCGCCTTTTCATTTCTCTCGCTCTCTCACCCTCGCACACGAAGCTTTGTTATATAACGCTATTTTTTGCTCCCGTCTTCTCGCGCCTCATAAAGCGGGTGTATGCCCGCTATTTTGCCCAAACAAGTTTTCATTTTACATATACGTGCGAAATGGATAGACTGAAAGAGGAAAAAAATGAAATGTTTTTCTACATTTTATGCTTCTCTCTGCGATATCTGGGTAAACTATATGGGAGAAATCACTGTCTCATTCAGAAACTTATACCATTGAATTTTTACTACTAGTAAAATAGAAATTAAATTTCTCTCACGAAAGCTTGGCAATTTTTAAGGAATTCATCTCATTCAGCTTCCATATCTTGTATATATACAGTAGAACCTCGCTTAACCCGTTCAAAATTTCCGGATTTTTACTCGCATAGTGAAACATATTCAAAAATACACATAATATATGTACACAAGTTTTAAAAATGATGTAGAAGGCG